AATAATAATAGCACTAAATTTTTTACCCTTTGAACTATTTTTTCGCTTAAATTATACAAACAGTGAGATTTAATTTAAGAATTTGTCAAAGGGGGAAAGGTCTGCCATTTTTTGTGATTTATCCCAACTCAACCAAAAAAATGAAGGGGGTAACTCGTAGACGCTTATCCGGAAAGCAATGTGAACACTTATGCGGGGAATACTGTACACGATAACGAAAATAGATGTCGCAAAGATATTCGTGGGACAAAGAAAGGTGCAAAGCACCGGCGACGATGGGAGAGATAAAGACAGAAGATTCTCTGTATGATCACGTTCGGCAAATTATTATGATGTCAATATTTCGCGTCGCATATATACATATAACGAGATTATTCTCGTTACAACTCTGCCCGCTACTATTATTATTATTATTACGATCGATTCTGTGAATCTCGGTAAATTCGGCACGCAAGATAGCCCCCCTTTCGAGGATGAAAGCAAACGATGGTTAGACCCAGAATTTTTATATAACCGTACCACGCGATGAAAAAATCCTTGTGAAAATTACTACTGATCGAATCAATGATGCGTTGTTAAAGAGAGAAAGAGGGAGGAAGAGAGAGAGACGAGAAGAGAAACTTTCGATGCAAATTCTGCCGCTACACACAACACACACACGTGTGTCGCGAAAAACCCACCAGCATGTCCAGTAACAATTACAATATTACTATCATAAGTACAATATATTAAGTGTTTTCAGAAAATATATGATCTATATATGATAATAAAAGCGGGAAAACATTTCACATCCAGTTTGTTATTCTAACATCTCAGTCATTGGTCCTTGTTCACCTTCGCCTCATCTCGAGTGAAATTTGACCATTTCTGGTGTTGATTTGATGTTCGACTAGTCAATTTTGGCCGATACGTTCTCTCTTCATTTTAGATAATATGCAGAGCACGAGGAGGAAACTCACTAACTGAAAGGAAGTGTCGTTCGAACAGTTATGAATAGCTGTTTCATGAAATATAGAGTATATCAAAATATTAAAATTCTTTAGTTTTATGCGTTAATTTACTCTTGAGGTTATGTTCACATATTTTGATACGCCCTATACATTCACATGTTCATTCGACTCACTATGATCAAGAAGATCAACAGTGCGGACATGCTAATCGTGTGCACGTGCGACTTTAACAACAACACAGCACTCCTAAGACATCCTGTCCTGTAAGTTACGGCTTCTGTCATTTGTAGACACTATAAATCATTTTTTTACAAATTCTATGGAAACTTGTGAATAAAAGTAGCGATTTTAGATTTCATTTTACACCTATTGGATATTTCTTTTAATTTGAAAGATTAGGGTAAAAACGTCGCAGAAGTTTGAAGATTAGTATGTTTTCTTTTTGTATTTTTAATACATACATACATATATCTTGCAACGAAGATTAGTATAGATATCATTTGATCAAAGAACTATTTAATTGATAAAAATGATTTACTTCTTCGATGGGTTTCGAGCAACAACTCTTCGGAATGTCGACATGATATTTGGTCCAGTCTTTCGCAGACTTGATTCCACAACATTTCAACTAAAATATAGTTTCTCTTAACGGCTAATTTTCGAAAGAAGAAATGGTGTAAGATCTTTCAGAGACATCTAGGTATGAGTACGAGAATTGGTCTCTTACGTATCTGTGGGTATTGTCCCAAGCTTCTCTATTCCAGAACAAAGAATGATAATTTTCAATGGAGGCGCTCATATCGTCTTGAATTCCTTTTGCGATTTCTTCGAAGATCCAGAAACTCATTATAGCACTGATAAATATGATGCAGAGAAATGTCAAGTAACACAATGCGTACTGCAATGAAATAACTTTTTTTATTTAATATGTTACCTCTTATTTTTATCTGTTATGAATAACTTATCTGTCAAGAAAACGAAAAATAAAGAATACCGTCATTTCTTATGAAGAAAATATTCAAAAGAATTCCCTAAAAGAAGTATTTTCAATCTTTTTTATATAAAGTATTTATATAAAAGTTTTCACTAATAATGTTAAACGACTGCCTACAATGTTCAAAAATTTTCTTTTTCTTCGAATTATACCAAGAATGCCCAGTAACGATACTAGTGAAGCAACTAGACCCATGAATAATAGTGTTGTGATAAAAAAACGCTGACCAATCAATCTTGACATAATTCTGGTGTCAGTGAGAGTCCACACAGAGGTTACAACGCCAATGATGCCTGCAAGCTTTATTTATTTCTCAAAGAAAAGGATCTTTTTTTTAAATTAAACATTATTACAAATATACTTAAACTAGTATTTCGAATTATTCTACCCAAGATCTAATTACATTATCTAATTTATTTACTCACAAACGTTGCTGCATTGATTGTTAAAAAGACAAATTTTATACATCGTTGCGACAAATCATTATGTGAAAATTGGTGAAAATGCATTCCCAGAAAATTTGATCTTTTCTCGGTCGATACGGTTCCATTGCTGTCCGTAATGTCCTCCTCATCATCCGTTTCCGTTTCATCCTCATTTCCGTGATCTCCGTGGTCTGGTGTACCGGTAAAGAATTTATTCCAATTCATAGGTATGACGCAATCAGAATGTGACTAAAAGAAGAATTAAGTAAAAGTAAGTGATAAATGATACAAATTTTGTGTTACTTAAATTGATTTGAAGTCTTTAAATGGTTAAAATGTAACGTGATTAATAAAATTGAATTTCACATTTAATATATTTCGAGAGTATACAAAATTATTTCTTTAATCTCCTTATTTTATTTAGAGATTTTAAATTAAATACCTAATGTTTCCTTAATAACTATTATTTATATTAATTTTTTTTTAATATTGATGTACAGAAGTATGATAAACACATCCTCACTTCCTTATTTCGATTATTCATTCAAAGCATTTTATTACCTTTCATTGTAGTCATATCGCTTAGGGAAAATGGAAGTTTTTTGTCATTCTGCATTGGAAAAGTCAATAATAATAATATCTATATACAAATTTCATTTATATTAATTTGACTTCAACTTGATCTGATTGCAAACGGATTTTTGAAAAATATTTAAACTAAAAATTTATTTCTTGAAGTTACACATCCTGTTCATACTTTTAAAATAAAAGTAACTAGAAATGAAAATCTTTTCCCGCCTTTCTTGCTCAAGCCATTTTTATTACTTGTAACCGAATAATTCACATTTGATACATATGTTATTACGAATATAACAGGCCAAGATGAACAAGAAGCAATTTTCGGCACCTTCAGCTGCAAAAAAGGCTAAATACCGGTAAATGTTTGCAATATTTGCAAATAAGTTAATTTTAACCTTTTATGAGGTACCTTACACAATTATAATCACACGTTTGTTTATTAAATTATAACAAAATTTATCGAAATAACTTTAGTCTAAATATTATTTAAATAGTTATCACTGTTGCGTGTGTAATGATTGAAATAAAAATGGTTAATATTAAATGTTTCTTTTGGTATATGAATTTGTTATTGTGTGCATATATTTTTTTGTCTGTAATATTTCTTTTAATATATCATCCATTGATAGAGATGACACTGAGGATAACTACCCTGGTTCTTTTGAAGCAGAATTGGCTGTTATGGGTGAAATAGAAGATGAAGTTGGGTATACATCTCAGATTGTTGAAGAGGTATATATAAATTGAATGTTCTATTATTTCCTTATAATTACTGTTCAATAGATTATAGTATGAGATATATTAAAAATAATATTAATTATTACAGAAGTTATGTATTAAACAAAGATTAAGGAATTTTATATTCAAAATAATTTAGACATGTTGTTAATTAGTATTTCATTATTTTAGTCAACTGATGTGGTAGTAAATGAAACACCGAAAGCTGTAAGTTAATGCACATACTAGAAGCGTGTGTATTGTAAGATGTGTTTTCTAAGCACGTTACAATCATTAAATGCTGTTGTTGAAGTAATGCCTTACAAGCTTAATTCATCATTCTTTTTGTATCCATATGATAATACATAATCATCACTTTAACATAAGCTAATTTTTTTACATTACTTTCATGATTTATTGTGTACTGTGATTACATGTAATATTGAATTTAATTTGTCATAATACCTTTAGTGTCACATTCATTGTCTTTCATCTGCTGGCTAAGTTTTATTTTGTACTTAATATGAAAAAATGTATTTTCTGCATAATTATTTTTTGTTATTTTTATTAGGGTCCTGAACAAGAAAACACATCTTCAAAATGGAGTAGACTGCCTCCTCCACAGATAAACCCACAAAAAGATGCATTAATTTTTCAACAAATAGAAATTGATCATTATTCAGGTATATTTTACTATTATTACTAAAACAAACATAATATATTGTAGTACTTAATGTGCAATTCCACATGCAGGTGCACCATTATATGGAATGCCAGGCAGCAGAATACCTCCTGTACCCATAATGAGAATGTTTGGTATTACAGAACGGGGAAATTCTGTTTGTTGTCATGTACATGGATTCAGTCCATATTTATATGTTACAGCACCAGAGAATTTTAATGAACATCATTGTAAACTATTTAAGGTATACAACTATTGAAAATGAATAATGCAAATGGAATAAAAATTTTCAATTAAATCAATGTATCTTCATTAGAGTGCTTTAGACAAAGCTTTATTAAAAGACATGAGATCGAATCCAGAAAATATTCAGGAAGCTGTTTTGGCCGTCGAGCGAGTATATAAGCAAAACATGTATGGTTATGTAGGACATGGAAAAGAATTGTTTTTAAAAATTACTGTAGCACTACCAAGGTTAATATCACGCTGCAAAAAGGTAGTTGAAGGGGAAATAATTTTGTCTGAATTCAATCACAATTACACAGCTTTTGAAAGCAACATTGATTTTGATATTAGGTATGTACAGTACATTAAAAAATAATGTTCATTTCTCCCATATTTCAAAATTTAACTATTATTTAAGGTTTATGGTTGACACTTCAGTTGTTGGATGTTCATGGATTGAATTACCACCCAAAACTTGGAAACTTCGTGGCCAGCATGAACACAATTTACCATTGACTACAAGGTGTCAGTTGGAAGTAGATGTTGCATGGGATACTTTCATTGCTCATGCTCCAGAGGGGGAATGGTCAAAAATTGCACCTTTTAGAATTCTTAGTTTTGATATTGAATGCGCTGGTCGCAAAGGTAAAATATATTTTTTTTACTTTTCCATTGTATGTAAATTAATGTTAATTCTATTTACAACTAGGTATTTTTCCTGAACCAAATCATGATCCTGTTATACAAATCGCTAACATGGTAATAAGACAAGGAGAACCAGAACCTTTTATACGAAATATTTTTACCTTAAATACTTGCGCGCCAATCGTTGGTAGTCAAGTTTTAAGCTTTGATAAAGAACAAGTAATGTTAGAGGTATGAATGCATTCTAAATATACATATTATATCAATTGGTGTACATAATTAATATGTATCAGTTGTATTTTATTTTCCTTAGAAATGGGCTGACTTCGTGAGACAATTAGATCCCGATATTTTTACAGGATATAACATAAATAATTTTGACTTTCCTTATCTGATTAATCGAGCAAAGCATCTTAACGCGAAGGACTTTTATTTCCTTAGTCGAATAAAAAATGTAAAATCTGTCATCAAAACTCAAGTACTTCAAAGTAAACAGATGGGTAAACGTGAAATTAAATCTGTCAATTTTGAAGGAAGAGTGCCATTTGATTTATTATTGGTAAAATTAGTCATACTTAAATTTGTCATAAACCTCAATATATAACAATAGATTAAATTTGTATTTATATGTAGGTGCTGGTAAGAGATTACAAGTTAAGATCGTACACTTTAAATGCCGTGTCTTACCACTTCCTGCAAGAACAAAAGGAAGACGTTCATCACAGTATTATCACGGATTTACAAAATGGTGACGCACAGACTCGCCGAAGACTTGCCGTTTACTGCTTGAAAGATGCATACTTACCTCTTAGATTGTTGGATAAATTAATGTGCATTTTCATCTACATGGAAATGGCAAGAGTTACTGGAGTTTCTATATGCAGCTTATTAACTAGAGGACAACAAATAAAAGTTATTTCACAGTTATTGAGAAAGGTTAATCAATATAACAAATCTGTTGTTGGTTATTGATGCAAGGCATAAAATTATATTACAGATGTGTTATTTCAGACTAAAGAAAAGGATTATCTAATGCCAGTGCATCGGGGTCAAGCTAGCGATGAGCAATTTGAAGGTGCCACAGTTATAGAGCCAAAGCGCGGATACTACAGCGATCCCATTGCAACTTTGGATTTCAGTTCTCTGTATCCTAGTATTATCATGGCACACAATTTGTGTTACACCACGTTATTAAAACACGATAAGCAGGCCAAAAATAAAGTTAATCCAGATGATATAACTGTGACTCCAAGTGATTCAAGGTTTGTTAAAGCCACTATTAGAAAAGGAGTTCTTCCGGAAATTTTGGAAAGCCTTCTGTCTGCCAGAAAAGCAGCAAAGACTGAACTAAAAAATGAGACTGATCCTTTGAAACAAAAAGTATTAGATGGTAGACAGTATGCCTTGAAAGTGTCAGCTAATTCTGTGTATGGTTTCACTGGTGCACAAATGGGGAAATTGCCATGTTTGGATATATGTGCTGTAAGAGTCAAATACTTGAACTTTTTTAATGTTGAAACACATTCATTTATAATACAAAAGAGACATTTCAGAGTGTCACTTCGTATGGACGAACGATGATAGAACTAACCAAGCAGGAGGTGGAAGACCAATTTTGTATTTCAAAGGGGTATAAAAATGATGCTATGGTCGTATATGGTGATACAGATTCTGTTATGGTTAAGTTTGGCGTTAAAACAGTAGCAGAAGCCATGGAACTTGGCAGAGAAGCGGCAGAATATGTATCTTCGAAATTCTTGAAACCCATCAAGCTGGAATTTGAAAAAGTATATTTCCCATATTTGTTAATTAATAAAAAACGATACGCTGGTTTGTATTTTACTCGCCCAGACAAGTATGATAAAATGGACTGCAAAGGTTTGGAAACTGTGCGAAGAGATAACTGTCCATTAGTAGCAAACATGATGAATACCTGTTTGCAGAAATTACTTATTGATCGGTAACTGAATATTATATTTATTCGAATATTTATGTAAGTCAAAATTATTCAATTAATTTTTTTTTACAGGGATCCCAAAGATGCTCTAAATTATGCAAAACAAATGATTAGTGATCTTTTATGCAATCGTGTTGACATTTCTCAATTAGTGATCACAAAAGAATTAACCAAAACTGACTACACAGCGAAACAAGCGCATGTTGAATTGGCTGCAAAAATGAAGAAGCGAGACGCTGGAAATGCGCCAAAACTTGGCGACAGAGTTCCGTATGTTTTTATATCAGCAGCTAAAGGCACACCGGCTTATCAGAAAGCAGAAGATCCAATCTATGTGTTAGAAAATAGTATTCCTATTGATACGAATTATTATTTAGAAAATCAACTGTCTAAGCCACTTGTTCGTATTTTTGAGCCAATTCTTGGCGATAAGACTGAATCGCTTTTGTTGAAAGGTGATCATACACGCACAAAATCCGTTGCTACATCGAAAGTTGGTGCTCTCGCCGCTTTTACACGTAAGAAAGAAGTATGTTTAGGTTGCAAAGCTGTTCTGACACCGGAAAGGGAAAAGATGGCTGTATGTAAATACTGTGAACCAAGGGAAGCAGAATTTTATCAAACTGAATTATATCTTGGTAGAAAATTGGAAGAAAAATTCTGTAGATTGTGGACAGAATGTCAGAGGTGTCAGGGAAGTCTTCATCAAGAAGTGTTGTGCACAAGGTTTGTTTTATGGTAACGGGAAGTTTCTATTAATTTGTATTAAGTAGCCTAATTCTTCATAATAACCTTTTAGCCGTGACTGTCCAATATTTTATATGAGAAAGAAAGTACAATTAGAATTAGACACACAAATGAAAAGAATTGAAAGATTTGGAATCCCAGAGTGGTGAAATTAAGAAAATGGAGAGACGAGCGAGGTGTGTTCATACTTATTATTAATGTGTACAAAAAAGATCATTATTTTATGTACATACGTTAGTTTGACAAACACAGGTCATAATTTTTAGAGCATTAGTTTTAACCAAACTAAAAGTTACTGGAAACATAAAATAAAAACAGAATAAATCACAAGTTTGATACAATTTACATAAAATATTTAATCCTTTTTGCAAATTTTTTACAAATTATATATAGAAAATTTATAAATGCACATAATACGATTGCGTATATATTGAAAATCCTTTTTTATGTATAAAAACATGTACTATCCAAAATTTTTTAAAGTTATACAATCAATTTTATCAATTAAAATAACCAATCAACATGCAATTAATATTTGTGGAATATTTATTATGAAATAGTATTTATAAAGATTTTAAATACATAAATTATCAAACCTCGGTACACTGCTCAAAGGGTGCGTTTAACCAATGCACCTCATTACTATTTAGTAATATTTGTTCTTTCAAATTATGATTTTAAATGAATATCGTTTAAAGTACTAATCTCGATTTTTGTACGGCAGTATTAAATCTTTCCAATTCTATGTAACAAATTTATAAACATCGTTCAAGATATTGTGCTTCAATGTTAAATCAGATTCTCTTGTTTTCATATTATGTTTCTTATAAAAATGAACAGTTTAAATATATAAGTGTCTTACATTATACAAATGAAATTAAACCAGTTACACATATTTACATAATTATTCACACAGTATGTCAAAGTATTGACACCTTAAACGATTTCCAAAGTTACTGCAATATGTATAAATGATCGTTCTGACTAATAATATAATAAAAGTAATGTATTTATGCTAATATACATTACACTTTCTGTTCTCAATAGATAATTTTCTGTAAAATTTATTAAAAGCTAATGAACTTTATATTACTTTGTATAATAACAAAAGTCGCTTACTCAAATGTTATTACATCGTTAGATAATAAAAAATTGTATATTTTTAGTAATAATAAAACATCCAATAATAATGTAGAAAGAAATATTTCTATTTAAAGAATCTCTAATGTTTATTTCATTTTAAATTGTATAGAAAGATAAAATTTTTGGTTTGTTTTTATTCTTCACTTCACATTATGAAAATCGTGGTAAATCATAGAATAAATTTTTCGTGGAATTCGTAAAGCTATTTAAAACATAATTATAATAAATAAACAGAATGATGTGCCCAGCTCTGCATGGGTGGTTCAAAGTGACAGTCATATGACTAGTCTTAGTAAGGCTTGGGTAAAAAAAGTTTTTAATAATGTTAATCATTTTCTACTTTGCAGCGCATTTGACAACCAGTCCATTGCTTGGTCTAGCCCTTCACCTTTTGTTGCAGATGTTTTAAAGATTTGGAACGTTCTATTTTTAAGAGCATCTAATCCCAGTGCCTGATGCACCTCTGCAACACTTAAACACCCTGCCATATCTTGCTTATTTGCCAAGACCACCAAAATGGCACCTTGTAATTCTTCTTCCTGAGAATGTATAAATATAGTTTTTAACATTATGTTAATAACTTAAATATACATATGTTACAGTTTGATGATTATGAGATTATAAGTGGCAGACTGCATGTTAGAGATATTTCATATTTGACTGTGATGTTTAAGTATTGTTATTACCTAATAAAGTATAACTTATAAATAAGATATTCAGCAATTATTGATAGCAGTAAAATGTACTTACTCTCAACATATAAATTAGTTCATCTTTTGATATGCCTATCCTATCCTTGTCTGCTGAATCCACAACATAGATTATTGCATCTGTGTTTGAATAATAACACCTCCAATATGGTCTGCAAATTAAAAATTTCAATGTAACATTCGCACATGTTGCATGACTTTCAAATATTAAACTAAGTGAAATTAAACACAAATTGTTTCATACCTTATACTAGTTTGACCTCCCAGGTCCCACACTTGAAATTTTAAATTTTTATATGTAACCTGTTCTACGTTAAATCCTATAGTAGGTATTGTTGTAACCACCTCACCAACCTGCAACCTGATAAATACACCATTCAAAACAATTTCTTACACACATAGTGCACCAGAATATCCACCAATTTTATCTTAAATTGTTCATACCACACAACGAACATTTAATTTTCGGTTATAAATGTCAACACAAAATTAATACGACGCACAAATATAAAATAAGCCGATCAATCGGAGAAACTACTACGAATATGTACCTAATTACAACCTGATATCAAACTGAGAACGTATATGTGGTAAAACGTAAACTGTCAAGCGAAATGTAGACAAGCTTGTCAATGTAGAGCACACCTGTACAGAATCGTAGTTTTCCCGGCTCCGTCCAAGCCTAGAATTAAAATTCGCATTTCCCGGCTGCCAAGCAAATTACGAAAATAACTGAGTAATCCTCCTGGAAAGGCCAAAGTGTTGGAATTACGTATAAATGAAACACTAAAATTGCATGACGGGTCATCTGCCGATCAGCCAGTATTTGTATTCACTCAGTGGATTAGTTACGATTTCGGTAGCATGTACCTTCGAGAATTATCACACAACTCACCCATATCGATCACGTATTATTTCCAATTCATATAGTATAAATTAAAGTTTATTGTCAAATTTAATAACCACCACTTGTATCCCAGTAACCGGGGCGCACACCCCTTTAACTGTCCACGGATGCAGTCCGCTTCAGATCACTTGCTGACTTGTATCGTTAGTCGAACTTGTGTGAAGTTGCAGTCGTTCGTCTGTATCCTCGATGTACCAACTATATAGCATAAACTGCTACGTTCAAGAAAATTTTTATACAATTTAGTTAATAAACCGCCAATATATATTCTGTTTTTATCACCTTATGTACTAGTTATTTCGTTTTTCATATACATCCCATTGACAATATTATAGCATGATCTAATCCATGCATAAATACGTTTTCACACTTAACTCGATTAACACATGGAATTTATGAAATAAAAATGATTTTTTCTTTTACCATTCGTACTAATATGTTTATTTTATAAATGTTTTTGCTGAAGCTATTATAAGTAGGAGTTCTAAACCACTGTTTTTTTCAAAGCTTTATTTCCGTTCTATAAATAGAATTTCTTTTGTTTTTATTTACATTGAAAATCTTTTCAGCTCTACGAAGTTACATTTCGTAACAACATACATTTCTGTTGACTTCCACCATAATTAAGCACCTGATTCGATAAGCTGATAACGTACACTGTCACCGTCGTTCATTTGAAAGACCGACGATAAATTGAAATCGCTAGTTTTATATATAATGTGTGTATATTGTACTTGATTCATTAAATGCATATGCGTAAACATCTGATATACGCAAAAAGAAACAATTGAAGATAAAATAATCAATATCTTTAATGTTACCTGAGCTTCACATATATTTATTTACATAATATGATATATTTAGAAATTTTAAAAATTCTAGAATATAATTTAATGCAAACTTTAATACGTGGAATAAATTATTTTAAGAAAAGAATCAGTATTTGATATTAAACATTTTCATATTTGACATAAATATTACTGTACAAAATTGAAAATGATCATAAATACACAAAATTAAAATTTCACATTTCTCAGTTGAATACCAACACAACTCCGTTGATAAACCATTGCAACATGCAGTTCTACCAACCGCTGATAGATGGCAGAGATATCGTCTTCCACGTTCGTCCCTTGTGCAGGAGGTTTTTTTGTAGCCTGGACCGAAAGTGGTTCTGCTGGGATGCTGCACAAACGCGGCGCCTGTGTTGCTAGTAATTGACAGCTGCCGAAAAGCGGCGACTCGGTCGGACGCGTGTGTGGATATTTTATCTCGTTAATGAGATGGAAGATACTACTTGCGAAGATCTGAAAGAAACCGGGTGAATCTGTCTGGTTCCCGCGGCCCCAGGCTATTGTTGATTTCGACACATCATGTATTTGCGCCAACATCATCGTCTGCGTGGTACAGTTTAAAAAGTTCGTATGTGTTTACAGTTTCGCGAAACATCGTGGTGCACGTTTCGCCGCGGTCATGTATACCATTACAACGTTTTCCGTATTTACGTACCCTACGGTAGAATAGTGGAAATAAAAAAAATGCTCATGCAACGTGAACACTGAATGAGAAAAGTGAAGTTTTAGTTGATAATTTTATCGAGTGTTCCTTAAGTGCCCGTCATGCCGAGTATATACATATGTTCGTCCCTACGAACTCGTTGAAAAAAGTTCGGTGAGTTGTTTAATATAAAAATATATCTCAGAAAATCTTTATATTTACACGTATTGTTTAAAAAATAGTAATTTTCAAGATCTACTTTACTTATTTGCCAGAAATTTATACAATTTTACTCAGTAATTCAAATCACACTATAACTAATGTTAAAAAAAACAATGCAGTAGTTTATAAAATTTTAATATTATAATCACCATCAAAGTGAAACGTCGAAAACATACAACGAAGATCATCGGAAATTTTTGGACGGTAACAAAAACCCCATAAACTGGTCAATTCCGAAAGTTCGCATACTCTAACGTCTAATAACTGCTGAAAACCGGTTTTCCCGAAAATTAAATTTTTCTCGAATGCACGCGACGGTCTCCTTGATCTCTAGACGTCTCTGTCTGTCTTTTTATCGAAAAGCATGCACCTATTGGACTCTATTTCGTTCAAGAATCATAAGGTACTGCATAAATCCTTGTGAAAGAACGATTTGGACCTTTCAAAGGATTTACAGCTAACCGGTTGCCGCGTAGGTCGCACACTCCGCGAGAACCCTCGTCTGATAGATCGTGATCCTCGGACTTTCGCCCGTTCAGTAACGTACACGGAGACACTGATACGGGCCCGACCATCGAATTCTCCCATCTAATGTTTAACACATAGTCGAAGATTATTCATCTTGTCAAAATCGTCCGTACACAAATGTTAGCCATGTTTCGTCCATGGTGAACCAATCCAGGTGACCGAACATATCGCACATGACAGGTACACTTAATACACCGGACTATGCATATTATGCGTAATTTCGACTCGTATTTGCTCGAAGGTTCAGCGGCGATCGTAAACACGGCACTCGCTACCATAAACTTCAGCGGGCATCGTATACACACACAAATACCTTTACCAACTAGCGCGACTTATTAAATCGTCGGTCGTTTACTTGCCGCATCCGTGGATCCGTCGGTTCATAACGATCTCATAAATCGTATTGATCTACGGTCCCTGGGGAAATATTTTACGTGCATCTATATCCTACTATATAGGCATCGTGAAAAAGAATCTAAGGAAAACTGTTACAAGCGGCTAGTAAAGTACGCCGCAGTGATACGCGACGAAGGAATGCATCCGGGGGATACCGGTATTCCTGTCGCGTTGGGATCGATAGGACATAGCGAGTAGAAAGGAAGGAAAGGAGGAACGTATAAAGCAATAATGACAAATGGAGAGGAGACTCGCTTCTAAGAAAGGTCATGGAGTTTTGCGTTGTTCTACGGGAAAACAGGGACACTAACCAACCGAGTGTTGTTCGCTCGGTTGTCAAATACGCGAGAGAGCGAACGACACACGGATCGACAAAACCAACCGATCGAGAAATTCGTTGTGTGATCGTAGCAAGTGTCGCTGTGATACTAACAAGAGTGACAGAGAAAGATAAATACATATAGAGGACGAGAAAAAGGGATAGAGACCAGAGAGAGAGAGAGAGAGAGGGAGACAATGTAAAGCCGCGTTTCTCCAGCGAAGAGGATCGCGGCGAGGGTTCGAATAAGAGGTGCTGTGGTGGGGGTGGAAGGAGGGGGTAAAGAGTAGGACAGCGGGGAAAAAGAGTGAGCGCGCTGGAAAAAGGTGGAGGGAGGAGCGAGATGGATATACACGATATAGGTTTTGGTTTGGGCAGCCGTTGGAATGCGGCGGCCGCGGGGCGGACGGCCGTACGCCATGCCACGCCGTATGTACGTACACTTAATGCCGTACGGTGTGTACAGGACCCAGCGCCGCGTCCAGCACATTCCGTGCCCCAGGCAAAATCGTACTTTTGTTTACGCCCACGTGCGCCTCCCTGGAACACGAATTTTCTTCAGGTCCTCGGTAAATCACGACCAGCGGTCAATGTCATTATTTCCACTGTCGCCACGTGCATGCGCGACAAATAGTGAACATGTAAACGATAAGCCGTATACGTTAACTAATACGTATATACGTTTTTCTTCTACTTATTGCACAGTAGCACAACTTTTTTCTCTCAATTTACTCTATCGGTAACGATTGGTTTGTTTCGCTTCATTGGAGTGAGTCTTCATACTCGTACGTTTGACGTGAAGGGATACTCTTGTAATGAACATTAAAATTTCAGAACATTGTAATTTGCACGTTCACAAAAGCACGAGAAACTTCTCAAATGCAACTTTCAACAAATAAAATTCACTTTTAATGCTATTCATTAGACCAGAGTTTATTAATTGTCTGAACTTCGTTCTGAACGGATTCTGTCACGTTGAGGTTAGCTTTAGTAGGAAGTTATTCAATTGAACGTTTCATTATTGCTACTAAATGTTGATTTCCGTTAGAAATTCCTACTTTTTTATCGATTCGATGGATTCGTCGGTAAGATAGTTCGTTGGTGGATTTTCTATCTAGGAATTCTTGCTCTTCGAGCATCGTTGTGTGGTGCTTTCCAAGTCGCGCGTACGCGAGACCCGCCGGTTCAGATGAAGATAAGACTAAACGTGATTTTTGAGCTAGAGCGCACCTGTGTCACCTCGGGAGATTCCCGTCGGCGGTTTTCAACTGCCTCAAAGCTTGATCCTTGATTGGTATCTGTGGCTGGTTGACAGTTATGGAAGTTAAAGGAACCAGTTAACGTTGAGAGATTGTATTTTTGTTATGGAGGGATAAGAGGATGTAGTACACCGTTATACAGTTTCAAGCAACAGCGCGTTAGAGATTGTTTCGAACATAATCGAATCTTTAAGTGGATGGTAGTACAAGACATAGCTAGGGCTATTACGAGAAGGTAAAATAGGAAGAGGTTATGTTCACTTGTAGAGTGACGACAGAAATTAGTTTTGATGTTATTTATTACTTTGGGAGTTATTGTGCTGTGTACGAGTATGAACATATGTATTACTAAAGTTCATTTTCATGAAAGTACAAATCTTAAAATGTGCAATTAAAAGAAAATAAATTTTGTTTCATCGGTGAGACATGTTAGACGTAACTTTAACCTCGTTTTAGGGATAATAAGCTGTGAATATCTCTGGTTTGACAACACTGCTCGTTATAGTTGTTTTCGCGCAAATCTGCATCTCCTTTGAGACTTGAAATGTCAAGTTGAAAATTATTATACGCCAGTGACTATCATTATGGTAAAATACGAAGGTTGAGTTTCAACTATGGGGAGAATGATAATAAACGGTGCTGTAGAAGTAGAGCAGAACCCGAATACAAGGAGAAAACGAGTCATAATGAATTGGTCAAATAAAAAAAAGAGGAAAAACACCGGTTATTTTATATGAAGGTTGTAAGAAATAGAATAAAACCTAAGTTCTTGAGTAAGTGGGTCAGTAACTGGAACAACTATGCAAGTGAAACGTGTAACAAATAATCCGCATTTTGAAACAAATAAAATTTCCGACCCAACCTAATCTAAAAAGAAAAGTAGTTTATATTGAATTATATTAATATTTACTATTT